TTTATTATATTAATAAGAGAGGTTCTCATTGTTAGCATCTTTGAAGCATGTAAAATTATTAAGGCAATGATTTAAAGAAGGCAAGAGACTAAAAATAGTATGATATTAGGAGAGGCTTTTTTTTAGCGGTTAAAAATTATAACATCCTTTCTATGAAGTATTTAATCAATTTATTTGAAATGATGATATACATAACACAAAGAGGCAGGATTCGAAATATGGTGACGAAGTTATTGTGAGGATTCCCAAATTCGATATTAGAAGCAGAATTTCAACATTAAAAAGAGAAAATAGAGTTAAATGATAGCAAAGTATATTCATAAAGAAGTTGCGATGAGTTTAAAAAATGGGAGTTTACCAGTAGTAGATAAAGATCTTTGAGTATTAAAAAAATTTTGGATCGAGCTTAATTTATATATTAAGGATAAATAGTTTGTTCTTAAAGTAAAGTTTCAAAGATAAAAATACTGGAAAGAATCCTTTTTAAGCAAAAAGAATATTTTAGTAGCTCACTTCTAGTGTACTTCTTAACCTTTGCCAATTGTAAGGACGACTAATATCCTTACATAACTTTTCTTTTTTGTTATCCAACTACCCGATTGTATAATCTTTAAAAAATTAGTACAATTGGATGAAAGAGAGTGTAGAGGTGATAAAAAATGAGAAGGTAGTATAATAATTATTTTGCTTTATTATAAAAAATAATTTGAATAAATAAAATTAGGACTTTGTGGTAAATAAATTTAACACTTAAATCAAATATAATGACAATTTGATATTGAAGATGTTTATCCAATATTATTTTGTAAGATTTACTAATATTTTCCCCCCACTTTTTAATTGAATTTAATAAACTATAATTTTAAAATAATTTAAACTGTAATTAGGTGAAAAAAACAAGAAATAATTTTAATATTAAAGGATCATTCGATTTTATTTTGATCCAAATAAATTAATCTGATGAAACTTAATATAAAGTAATGGAAATTCGATTTAATATATTAAAAAATATTATTAGATAATAATATCGTCAAGAGAATTTCTAATGCATGCACATTTTTATCACTCAAACCCCTTTTATATAATGATTCATATTATGGATACGTTTAAGATAGATCTAGTATTTTTCTCTCTCAATATTATTTATAATTATCAAATAAAGTGAGTAGTGTGAAAAAAAATCAAATTTTAAAGATATAAGTTGTAATATTATATAATTTGTAATCAGAAACAAGAAATAGGTATTCTATTTAGCAAGCCTTAAATTAAATAAATTGATTATTAATTATGTATATTTTAAATATAAATGATTTATTTATTCTATAATTTTCAAGTTTTAAGTTATGCAAATATTTAGATGACTTAAAGTTTCTTGATTTTATCTTAACAAGAATCAATCCTAATTTTCCCAATATTTTATCTTTAAAATTATAATACATAAGATAATTTGATTCATAATATAAAACTTCATTTAATAGTAATAAAAATTCAATATTATTTTTAAAAAAGGAAATGGAGTATTAGAAAGATATATATGATATTTTAGTTTAATCAAAAGATTTAGACTAATAAATATACAAGGTAATAATCGAAATGTTGAGAAAAAATAATATTTCTGAATCTTTAAAATATCTTACAGATTAGGAAAACCTCTAAAGTTGCGAATAACGCATTTTAAAAGCTATGAATTTACCAATTGCCGATTAAGAAAAGAAATTAAATGTGGCTTAAAAAAAAATAAAGATAATGATAAATATTATGAAATAAATTAAAAATCATGACTTTAATAAAAAAAATTATTGTACAGATGCCTAGGAAGAATATAGAAAAGAGCTATTTTAAAAAATATCAAAAGATGAGCAAATTGTCTAATTGTTAAAATTTTTAGTTCAGCTCACAGCTATAGATAAGTAATTCATATAAAGCGGCTCGAACTCACTAAATATATTA